AAATTATATTTTAAATATACACCTTTACTTTCTATTATTTTGTTTAAACCAATTGTACTTGAATCTCCCAAATTAATAATAAATTCTTCAACATTAATTAATTTATATCTTTAATTAAATAAATATTTAAATATTTAGGTAGAAAGGTTATTTTTTGAATATATCGAATTAAAATATTCAAAAATTTTAATGAAAGGACAGAAAGAATTTTAAAAGGAATTTTTTTAAGAATTTTTTTAATTTCTAAAATTTATCCTCATAATTATACTCCTTTTTTCTTTAGAAATTATCCTAAATTTGACTTATGTAGATAGCATTAACTCAAAAGAGAAGAAATTCGTGTTAAGGCTAGAGTTCGGCGGTATCGGGATCCCGGTCGGGATCGGGCAGATTATCACGGGTTTTTTGAATCCCGATCCCGATTTAGCAGATCCCGAGACCGAAAAACAAATCCCGATTCCGGGATCGGGATCACTATCATCATTCCAAAATCCCGATTTTTTTTTGTCTAAATCACGATACGCTAAACTCTAGTTTAATTAATTTGGAAAATTAATTTTAATTAATTTAATTAATTAATTAATTCTATTTAATTATTATGCCATTTTTTTCACTTTATTTTAATTTTTAATAAATAAATCCAACATATTATTTGAAATTGTAGTTTGTAAAGAAAGATTACTTCCCATTATTCCATCTTTTGCCACTAAAATCCCGTGCCATTCGGATAAGTTTAAATTTTTATTTTTTTCTTTATTAATTTCTTCCTCACATCTTCTTGCAATATCATTTGTGTAATTTTTTATAATTTTAAATTTATTAGAGAATTTTGAATTTCTTGGGAAACTGGTATTAAATTGACTTTTGTAACAAATTAATAAGCTGAAATTAATTAAATATTTATTATTTATATTTGAAATATTTTTTATCCATCTTTACTTTCTCTTCCTTTTCTAATTATGCCTACCACATTTCACTCTCCTTTTGCTAAAAATTCCCTCTTTAGGGGTGAATTTTTTCAAAAGCTCGAAAAAGTCGGGACCAAGACTACACCCCAAAACCTAGACCGGAAAAAGCCTAAGAAGTCTTGAGTCAAGACTCATGACCAAGAATTTTGGACATCTCTATTAAACATGGAAATGAGATACGAATTAAGCTTTCGAATGGTATATAGAGCATGTATATCTATAACAGGGATGCTGACGTCCCTATTTCCGAATCGGGAATTACTAAAAATCGGAAATTTCCGAAAAATCGGTAAATTTGGGAATCCCCTTGTTAAAATTTACGCTTCAGAATGACAAAATCCTTCATTCATTTGAAAAAGTAATCTATAACCACTATTATTTTGATCCTTTTTAGTACATTTATTAGAAAGTGAAGAAAGTTTTATTTTGTGTAATCCATTTCTTGTTCCAGTGAGTAAAATACTAAATTAATTAATCATAAATTCGAAAATATTTTTTAACTAACGGATTTTCATAATTTAATTTTCCTTTACAATTATTTAGAAATATTCCAAATATAATTATTAAAAATATTATTTTAATTAATTTAATTTTTATTTGCTTTTTTTAATAATAATTAAATATTTTCTGTTTGATTTTAGTAATTTAATTTTTCACAAATTATAAATTAATACACAAATATGACTAATATTAATGACTAATATTTTTAAAAAGCTATATCAGAAAAAAAAATTTGAATTTGTTTTTATATTATGTTTGAAATTTATATTAAAGTTTGAAATTCCCGCCCTAAGGGTTTTTGTCTCTACATGAACCAGGAATGTATTTAGGGATAATTCATGGAAGCGTTGAAAAATCCTATCCTCCCAAATCTTCAAAATTCTTATTCGATTTAATAACTTCACTACATTTATGTTTACTTTCCATTACCTGTAATTACATAAAGGCTCATAGGATTTTTCTATAACTTGCTTGGTGAAGGTTACATAAGGGACTGTTAACTTTAAAAAATGCCAGACCTCGATCATTAAACTACTCGGGAACGTGAATATTGTCAAATTATTTAGTTAATTCTAGTGCTTTACTAAATTCTTTTCCCAATTGTTTCGCTCAATTTATTTTATGTCGCTTTGTGGGTTTTCAATTTTAAGCAATTGCATCTCTCTCTCATTCACCGAAAATTGTTTTGCATCGCTTACTTGTTTATTGGCCCTATTTGAGGTAAAAAGGATTAAAAAAAGGAATGGGCAATGGTGCGGGATTTTAAATTGCAAAACGAGAATTTCAAAATTTAAAATTATAGTGTTTTCATCTTTTGTCAATTTTTTCCCAAATTATGGTCAAAAACATAAGAAAGAAAATAAGTGTTCTCGGAAATTCTCTACTACTTTCCAACCATAATAACATAGGTAACCAACAATTCCCTCATTTCCTTTTTTTTTCCTTAGAAATTTTTAGCAAGGTTGGCGGATCCTGATATCCGTATCAGAAAAAAGGCAAAATATACTGAAATTTTCGGTTCGTATATCGGATCCGGATATCCGAAGATTTCCAACTCTCCGCCAAACTTATTAAGAACATTTTTTGCAACATTTCACATCTCTACATAGTTGCTTATTTGATTAATTTATTAGCACCGGTGCCTTAACATTCCTGTAAACAAAATTCCCTCATTTCCTTTTTTTCTAAATTTTTGTGGCCAATATACTTAAAAAAACAAAAATAAAAAGAAAATATATATTGGCATTTTGCCTCTTTTACTTGTCTTTTTTCATTCAACTTTTATGAATATATAAATTCATCGACCGTAAAAGTTGAGGGGAAATAAATGAGTTTTTTTCTATTAAATTTTTATTTTGCCTAAAATGCCGTTCTCTTTCAATTTTTTGTCCTTTTTTTAATCTAAAATATTCTTTTAACTTTTTAGTCCTTCATTCTTTTGAAAAAAAAAAGAAAATTATTATTATTAAAGTACTTTTGTTACATTTTGTTTAAAAAAGTAGAAAAAAAATTTTTTGTTACTTTTTTTTGTTTAATTTTCTTTAGACAATAAACATATTCACAAATATGTAAAGCATATAAACAATATTATTAGTAAAAGAATCTAAGGGAAGTTATAACTAGGGTTCTGTTTACAAAACTATTTTTTATCTGTTTATTTAAGCCTAATAAAGCGTCCGGCTTCCCGAAAATCAGGAATTTATTTTTTATTTCAGCTAGATCCTTGCCAACAAGCGCTAAGTCGAACAGTTCCAGTTCTCTTAAATTTATTCTAATTTTATAAAACTACTTATATTTAATACCGTATATACTTTATTAATTACCCTCCCTAAAATAATTACCTCGCCTCTTTAATTAACCTTTCAGCAAGAGATTGAAGCACTGATTATCCAGTTTAATTAATAAAGTATACACGATAAGTTTGAATATCAATAGTTGGTCCTATCTTTTTATACATGTAAGAAAAGGAAGTGATAAAAGGGGTGGGACTTATGGGATGGAAACTGCACAATTTCCAAATTCTTTGCCTAAAATTTTTTAAAAATCTCGGTAAAGATTCGAACAGAATCTAGCCTACTTTAAATTATCATCAAAAAATTTTTTCGTAATATTTATTCTGATTCTTTTGTCTAACATTTTTCCATGATTTTTATTTTATTTTCTAATCAACAAAAGTATGTATTTACTAACCCAAAAATATTTATTTATAAAAAACAAACCCATTAATTTTTTCAATAAATATATAAATCTTTTTTTCTTTTTCAAAATATTCTAAAAATAAAAATTTTTGCATTAAAAATGAATGAGCAACTGTTTAAAATTTAAAAACCTTTCGCGTTTTTTGTTTGATTTTGTGGGAGTACAGCCGATTTGAAAAAAATAAAAGAAAGGTGTTATAAAGAACAAGCATATTTTTTAAAAATGTTATTTCGTATATAGACATGATTGACGGATAAATAAAAAAATATAAAAAAATATATAGAACATTAAATCAATCCCCTTTCAAGAGGCCTTTCTACCGCTAGCTTACTCCGACGCGGATTTACTAGGGTTAACTTTATCCTACCTCTTTGATTTATAACTACCATTCGATGCAGCTCGATGAGAGACCGTTAGACAAACCAAAATTGTTTAGATCCGACATTTACAGAGTTAGTTAATGGCCCCGAGGTAGTTAGACTACGGTGAGGGATATTCCCCTTAATACTCCTTTCATTCTCTCTTCATTTTTTTAAATAAAATATTTATTTTATAAAAATGTAGCAATAAAATATCAAAACAATTTTTATATCGAAACATGATTCTTTTGTTTTAAAAAATTGTTTTTTAATGGAGATAATGTCTAGAGACTTTAAGGCTTTAAAAAATTACTTCCTTATTTTTTGAACTATTATTGAACAAAGTTTTTCTTTCAGATTGATTTAAAAAATAAAATAATGTTGAAAGGAATAAATTTTGTAATATTCATTTACACAACTAGATTTTTTAAATCCACATTTATTTATTTGTTACTGTTTTCGGTAAGAATTTACGATATTTTTCAGATTATAAATCAAATTAATTTTTATATTAAATTTTTGGATAGAGATCGGTATTTTCAAAAATTCTAGATCTGGATTTAGGTTAGTAACCTGGACTGTATTTCTGATTTGGATCGAGGAAAAATCCAGCTCCAGAAAAATCCAGGACGATCAAAAAATGCCTGGATCAGGACTCTGGATCCAAGAAAAATCCAGACTGGATCCAGATCCAGACCGATCTCTAATAGTGGGATAAAATCTACATTTTATTTTAACTTTAAATTTTTTCATTTTTAAATAAATTAATGTACAATATTATAGAATTATTCCTTCTCACTTCCACCCATTTCACCTCGCTTTCTTCATTTTACAGTCCAGATCCAACAGGAATGGTTAACTGACCAAAATATTAGGTACTAATTTATTTTTATGTAAAGCTGTGAAAAAATTTTTTTCTAGAATTTTGGCAGTTTTTGAAAATTTAAATAATGAAAAACCAAAAAATTGGCAAATGGCTATCCAATTATTTGGGCAAAATAAAAATCAAAAAATTCCATTTATTACATTATTAAATATAACTAAAGGAGATAAAATTGAAAATAATTTAATTAATTCTGAAAATATGCCTCCTTGCTTAATTGATAATAAATTGGAAGAAAATATACAAATTGAGGTATTAAAATGGTTAAATATTTATTTAATTATTGAGGAATGTGGGTTAGAATTATATCAATTTCTTGGCGGATTCTGTCCCGAAATATTTAAAATATCCTAAATTTTTGATTCGGATAACTGATCTGGATCAGAGGTGGGTCGGAATAGTCAGAGGTGTCTGAAATCGGAAGAGCCGGAAATTGGAACTGGATCAAAAGTCGGAAATCGTAAATCAAAATTTTTTCGGAAATCGGAAGGAAAAAACGATGGAAATCGGAATTCCGGCCCAACTCTGATCCGGACATCCGAATAATTCCCAGAATCTGCTAAACCTACTTTTTTCTTTCCTCAAAATTTTCCCCAAAAGAATATTTTCATCCCCTTTTGTCATTTAAAGGTTGAATTGTCACAATTTTTCCTTTACTTACGTGCTAAAAATGCAGAAAAATACGTTTTGCCTGAGGCGCTGTTGGATTCCGCAGAATTACACGTGTTCTTTGTTCGGATTTTGTATGGCAACAATAAAAATGTTTCGAAGGAGAAAGAAGAAAATGTTTGCCAACTTAAATCTGAGTTGGAATATAAAGAGACTAGTAGGGTTTTAAATATTTTTTGAAGCTAAAAATTAGAGCTCTATACATATAATGGGCACCAAGGGTGGCGCAAGTGCCACAAAATACGAGATACGAGACCTAAAGACACGAGATTTCACGAGACACGAGATAGGAGACGAGCGCCACTCCCGATGGGCACCCCTCTTTAACCTATAATAGATACCTTTTATCTATTTTGATATCTATTTAATTTAATTTCATTAATTATTCCTGATAGAATAAAGTAGATGCAAGAACAATGAACATTTGAGATATTCCTAACATTGGAGGGCTTTTACCCAACACCATCAAAAAAAATTCTATGACTGTCTTTACAAAATAATTTTCAATTTAAGGTCGTTTCTCACTTCCTTCAACAACCCCACAGCCTATACAAACAACCCCCACCACCACCACCACAACAACAACAAAACAACCTCCTCTTCCTGTTGATATTTTCAGTAATTCTATATTATTAAATGAACCTGAAGAGGAATTAAATTTAAATTATCCAACAAAAGGTCCATATAAGAGAACTCGAAGTAAATTACCTAGAAGAAGCACAAAAGCCGCACAAAGTTATTTGAGTGCAGATCATTATGTTCAAAAAAGCAAAAATTCAAAGCAATCGAGGAGAATGTTCCCCCCACCTTTACAAACACCTTCTTGGCCTTTAGAAGGAAATAATAATAATAACCAAATTACCTCAACTACAACCCCTGCTTATATTGATATTATCAGGGATAGACAACTTTATGAAGAAGTACAGCGGTCAAAGTGTGTAATCTTTTTTAGTAAACTCTCTCTATAAGCGACTTTTATTTAATCAAAGAAAACACTTTTAATCTCTCTTGTCTCCCATTTACAAAAAGTTACATCCAGGTAAGTGCCTAAGCCTGTTCCTGGGCTCTGGGTTTGATTCATTGAACTGTGCCGGATCCTGGGCCTGTAGTCCAGGAAAAGTCTAGGAAGGTCAAAATTTGCCTGAGCCTGAACTCTGGGTACAGGAAAACCCCAGGGTCCAGACCCGGCTCGATCTCTATTAGAGACTATACTTCCCAAAAACTCAAAGATTATCTCCATTATTTAATTGAATCGCTTATACAGGGATTGTGAAAATTTAAAATTTGAAATAATTTTTTCATTAAATTTTAGAACGATGGAAATAAATTCTCGTTGGTCCCTAACATTTCTTATTTTTGTTGTTCTAATTTCTGTTTTAATTTCAATATCGGCAACATTCGCTCTAATTATGTTTGTTCTTCTCCAATGCAGACCAAAGACAAAGAAAACACTTTTAATTTCTCATTCCTCTTAATTTTTTATAAAAAATAAATTTTTATAAATTTTAAAATATAAATTAAGGGGAGGGGGGGGGGTTAAATTTTCAAAAATATTTTTGATTCGAACAATTTATAATTTTTGTGACCCGAGCAAACGTTGCTTCCGCTAGACGTGTGTCGCGACCCTGCGCGGAGGGTAGGGTTTCGCGTCTCGTAGACTCCCTTAGGTTTGGTTGCCTAGTTTGAGCTTCATTTGAGGTTGCGAATAAATGGGGTGTGTACCTAAAGCAAATATAAGTTCCAACTTTGACAAACAAAACTCTAGTTTGACAAAACTGTTTCATCTCGTATAAGAAAAGCTTTCAAACCAGAGAAATTAAACAAAATTGATAAATTAGAAAAATGATTTTCTTCAAAATTTTTTTGTGTTAGAACTAGGTTTAAGAGAAAGAAATTTTTGCTCAAAATTTTATCTTTAAAAAAATAATTTATTTTCTGATTATACCGATAATATAATCGAATGTTAATAATAATTAATAATGAGATTGAAATCAATTTGATTAAATATTTTACAAGGCTTAAATGAGAAAATTCATAAATTTAATGTCATTCATTTACCAATTTTTAACCATAAATTTGTTTATCTTCTAATAAACGAAAAGCAAAATCTTTATTATTAGTTTTAAAATTATTCCATTCCTTGCTGAGGATAAATGTTCCTCTTTTTGAAGAAAAATAGTTGAAACAAGCCTAAAAATAATTTTAAAAATAATTTTAAAGGCCCCAATTTTCAAGTCTAAATACACAAATAACCTTTTCAAGTTTTGGAAGACGATAAAGTTCAGCATATCTGCATCGTTTGCTAAAGTTTGCAGCATCTTTTTCGAAAAAAAACATAAACGATAAAATTTAAAATTTTTATTTTACTTACCAATATTAGCAGCCATATAATTTTCACAAATTTCCATTAATTGTTTTACTTCGTATTTATGTGCAATAGAAAATAAATCCTCGGAAAGTTTTTCAATTGTTTCTATAAAAATTTATTTTTTAATTAAAAATATAATTTTTATACATCATTTAAGATAAGCATTTTAAAATTTTGGTTGGCCACTGTGTGCGGAACTGACTAAGAAGTACCGCCAGATAAAAGTGGTCGGATTGAGCTCAATTTTGGATTTGTCTCTCTCTCTCTTGCGCCTACCCTCCCCCCACAAACGGTGGATACTCCTAAATTATCAAATACTTTTTCAATCCCACATGCTTATCTATAAGACAACTTAATAAAAAATACTTTTATCAATTTCTCCACTATAAAAATATTCAAGCATTGCTTTAAAACATTCTGGAGAAGAATCAACAATTTTTATTTTACCCTTAAATTTTATTTTAATTAAAAATTTAAATAATTAATTTATTTACACTTCGAGCCTCTTTCATATTTTTCTGTTCAAACATTGTTTGAAATACAATACTGTAGTTAGCCAAAATACATTTATGTGCATTTATTTTTTCATCTCCGATTTAAAATACCGTATTTATTCTAATAGAATGGCCGCCATTCTATTTTTCGATACCCCAAAAAATTGTCATTCAATTGGAGGGGCCATTCAAATGGAGGTGGCCATTCTATTTTTCATAGATTAAAAATAGAGATTGGATGAATCGAATATCTCGTCTTTAATATTTCTGAATTCGAAATTTTACCGATTTTTTAGTAAAATTCGATATTTTGAATTTCTTTAGTTAATTTTTCTATCAGTTTCACTATAAAACTCAGAAATTTTATGCCTGCCGAGCTAAAAAGTCAAATTTTGATTAACATCGAAGTCAAAAAATAAAAATTTCCTCTACAGTTAGGTCCTAATATTACGTGGTATTAAGTAATTTGGGCAAGATATAGAGGGATCAAGAGTATTATTTAGGATATCAAGTGTTTAAAGAGGATATAATGAATTTTGAGGATTTAGTGGGGTATTATGTTATTTGAAAACATCCATTTCTTTTTCAAAAATATTAAAATCATCCATATTTCAAAAATAGAACTAGTATCCACGTTATCCTATAAATCCCCGATATCCTGTAAATCCTCGATATCACTCCGAATCCAAAAACCCTCTAAACCCTCTTGTTAAACGAATCCCTGAATATCTTCCCCGAATTATTTTAATCTTCAGATGGTTTCTCCAAATCCTTTTGATCGATTGATATCTCTCTTAATCCTCCCAAATCCACAGATATACTTTTTAATCCCATTTTTGACTCTAACCTTTTCAAAAATATCACAATTATCCGTACAGAAAAGGAATATTAAATTAGTTAATAAAGGGATTAAAGAAATACGAGTTAGGTAGTTTGTAATTAAAAAGGGCCATTCAATTGGGGGGCCATTCAAATGGAGGTGGCCATTCTATTTTTCATTCACTCAAAAATGTGTCATTCAATTGGAGGGGCCATTCAAATGGAGGGGCCATTCAATTAGAATAAATACGGTATATAAATTAGGTAATTTAGTACTCAATTCGAAATAATTAATTTAACGAATGATTATTCTTATATCCGTTTAGCAAGTTCGGACCAGGGTGATCATTTTACCTTATTTATAGGGCATTTGCCCTATTTTTGAACATTTCGCCCTATTTTTTCCCTATTTTTTCATTTGCCATATTTTTGCCCTATTTTTAACATTTCGTAATATTTCCATAGTTTTTTGGGATTTTGTAAAAAAATGGTAAAAATGAAGGATTTCTGACTTCCTGGCTTCCAAAATTCTTAAAATTTTCGCCTGCGGCGCTAAAAAATGAAGAAATCCGGCTTCTTGACCTTCCAAAATTCAAAAATTTTTGCCTGTCGGCGCTGAATGGGGGGAGGGTACTAGCTTATTAATATAGATTGGCACGCACAGGATGAAGTACGGGATTTTATTCAGTCATTTGGACGTTAGTGTAAGGAAATAGTTCGAAATTAATCCAGGGTGACATTTTATCATATTTATAGGACTAAGGCCAAATTACTTAATTCCCTTGTTCCATTAAACTTAATTCTGATTTTATTGTACTCGGGCACATGATCTCTTTATTTCTGATCCCGATTTGCTCAATTTAGTTAAAACTAGTGAAAAAAGGTTTAAAATAAAGCTTTTTCTTTAAAATTTTAATTAATTTTAAGCTTTTAAAATATTGCCCTATTTTTTGCCCTATTTTTGCTCAATTTTGCCCTATTTTTGCCCATTTTTGAGTGACTGCGCCCTATTTTAGTGGTTTGGAAATGGTCACCATGGTTCGGACTTAAGTAGGCCACGATAAAATTAAAGGGTATAATATGTATGCAATTAAATAAATTAAAAAAAACTTATCTCGGAAACACTGTCAGTAAGTATTCCTTTTTTAAAAATATCTATAAATGAATTCTTTGATGTTAAAGAATCGTCAAATTCATTTTCTAATTTTAAATTATAAGGCACAAATTCAACCTCGCAAAAAATCGTTAAGGGATCTAAAAATCAAAATCATTTAAAATTTATTAAGTTAACATACTGTTAGCCGTTTTTGGTTTGGTAAATGAATATCTATTTGATTCTAATTCATTTTTAAAATCTAATGCAATGTTCCTACAAATTTAAATGATATCTTTAATTTTTTATGTTATTTCTATCAACCTTCATTTGATTATCCTTAATTTCTCTTTCTTTATCTTGGACCGCCTGCAGCGCTAATTCCCAATTTAATTTTAATAGTGCCCAGGTATATTATTAATTTATTTGGTACTTTTCTGTTTTGTGACCACACTTTAAAAATGTTTAAAAAGGGTTATTAATATAGACAAATTATATGTCATTCGAAAGAGCTCCTCGAGCTGAGTTGAATGACACCAAAATCAGCTCGAGATCTTGATTATGAGCCAAGATGAAAAGGTTCGAAATGGTCATCGTAAACCTATGGCGGCATAGGTAAAGCTGAAACAAACGATCATAACATTGTCCAATCTTGTTCAATCACGGTGATTTTGGTGTCTTTCGACTCAGCTTGCCGAGCTCTTTCAAATGACATACAGTTTGCTCATATTCATTATTTTGACCATTTTGATCTTTGTATCTTTTGACCATTTCGAGCCCGTACCATTTCAAATCCACATGATCTTGGTGTCTTTTGACGCAGCTCGATGAGCTCTTTCGAATGACATAATTTGTCGATGTTCATGACCCTTTTTAAACATTTTTAAAGTGAAAAAAAAAATTTAAAAGAAAAGTAAAAAAAAAGTAAAAAAAAAACAGAAAAGTACCATTTATTTTTATCACGTTTTGTTTATTTTAATTATGTATACTAGTGAAAAATATAAAGCATTTTATTTGAAATTTTAACAATTCTTTTGTTTTTAAAATTATGCCCCTATATTTTTCCTTATTTTTGAGTTGCTAAATATGCCCTGTTTTAGTGTTTTTGGAAAAGGTCGCCCTACCGAACAAACCAACTAATTTACAAACTAAAAATGAACATACATCCCACAAAGAGATGATTTATTTCCATTATCATCCAATATATAAATATTAAATTTAGCTTTTAAGGAATCATTCATGTCCTTGAGCCCTACTTGAACAAGAGAAACAGAATTGCTCGCATAGTAAATAATACTATTGTATTCATAACGATAATTAGTTGTGTAAACACGTAATTCCCATTTAACAGAAGGACATTTTCGATTATAGAATTGCTTGCCTGGATTTTAGATTTATTTTTAAATTTAACTTTACAAAAAACACAAACTCGTTAAAAATTGGCCATCTTTCATAAATTGCTCATGTTTATCAAAATTATATACTTTCCATTCTATTTCACAAGTAAGCGAATCCATCTAAATTGGTTAATTTAGTACAGGGATGTTATCGAGAAAATGTAAAGTTTGAATAAAAATGTCTAATTTATAAGACACATTTGGAAAAATTTTTTCCAAATATCTTGCTCAAATCTCTTATATTATATTTCTCTCTCAAATGAGTATTTTCAGTATTTTGTACAATACTTTCAAAATATGTAAGTATTCCCGATTTAGTATATAAATTTTTAAAAATATTTACTTTTGTAACATCCGAAAACATTTTTGTCAAGTCTGTAAAATTTTAAGAATATTTAACTTTATTGGAAAAATATTTTTTGAAATGATCGTTGAAAAGTTATCTTTACTAAATTTTTATAAATCAGAAAAATTATCAAAACTGAACAATAAACCGAAGGTAAAAGAAAAACGAATATACAAAAATGGAATGATTATGTAGAATATAAAACGAAAAAATGTAAATAAACAAAGTTTAACTTTATTGGAAAAATATTTTTTGAAATGATCGTTGAAAAAATTTATATATAGGTATAATGGGTTAATTTTATTCAGCCAGAATACCTAGACAAAAGAGTTAATGTGTAAGTTAAATAAGTTAATGTGTTTATTTTTAACAAAAAAAATTTTTTTTCCTTTCATTATTTTCAAAAAAAGTAATTTCTCTTTGCATCTCTTTTAGATTTCATCCTTCGCTGTTGAAACCAATTACAAACTTGTTTGGCACTAAGTCCCGTTTGTCTTGCCAAATCTTCTCTTTGATAATAAGTGATATAACGTGAAATATTATATCTTTTTTCCAAAATTTCTTTCTTTAAAATTAAAAATTTTTTTAATAAAAACTTAAACTATCGAAAAATTCTAAAAAAATTTTTTAGAATTTTTGTTCAATTAATTTAAAATAAATTTTATTTGCCTGAGTTTTTGTATATCTTATTGCTACTTCTTTTTTGTTTGGAGAACCTAAAATTTATATTTAACTAAATTATATACCATATTTCTTCTAATAGAAGCACAGTCTCTAATAGAAGCACACCCTACGAGAGTATCAAAAACCGGATATTCCGGATCAAAATCAGGAAAATCCGAATTTTTTAGACCCGGATCATGATTTCAAAATAAATTCTTTATAATAATT